GACGAAAATTTCCCGAATTCCACAACGCCACTAGAAAAGGCCCAAGGCCGAGCTTGACACACTGTGGAGCAGGGGCATTCATAGAATTCACATCACTTGTATCACCTGTGCTCCCGTTCATTATCGAATCGCGCTCGATCGGGCGCCAGTAACGGTTCCTTCGTCCTTGCAGCCTGTCAAAGCTGCCCAATGGTACCACTCGTTCAGAACTTTCACGAAGTGGTCGACCATTGCGTAGGCGGTCGTCCAGGTGGTCGTCTGACGAACCGTGAAATCCATTTAGTGATCGCTCTGGTCCAGCATCGTCCACAAGGCAAAAAGTTTCGACCTATATGATCCTCGAAATCTTGACGAGTTCGGCTGAATCCCTGATCTTCGATCGAGAGTGCGGAGCTCCGGATTCCCCTCTAACATGTGTGGAGGGATAACTTCGAGCATCCTTTCAATGGCGTTGAATGAGGCCTAGGCGCATTTTCATCCTGCTTTCGCAAAGTGCAAGTTAAGTTAGGACAGGAAGATCCGCGGAATCGATGAGGGCATGCCAATGATTTCGAAGAGTTTCAAAAGTTCTATACCACGAACACTTCCCTACTGTGAAACCTTATTCTAATGTCGCTTATCCTAAACTTGTGGTGAGCCCTTGGAATCCACTGGTAAGTAATCTCGCTTATTATAAGGGTTTCGCATAAAATCCATTATTCATCTCCAGTTATGAAGCGGTTGGGTCAATCAAATGGCTTGCGTCTAATTCCAAGTCCCACGCAACAGCTGACAGCGCAATTTTATTCAACTACGAGACGTTTGGATTGGGAAAGTGGAAAGTTGGACTCAACCCATTGTTAGGCGAAGATTTCAGGCATCAAGTTAACATCTGATATCCGCACACATGTGTTCTTCGCTCAGATGAGCGCTCTTTAGTCAGATCTACCTGCGCGCCTACTTTAGCAATTACCTTTACATTTCTGAGTGGTTCTGTCATTTCTTACTTCAAAGCGTGCCGCTTGTTGCACAAGGCAAAAATCCCATATCTCATTTGCCCTATGAATTGTGAACGCGCATAAAAGTTATTCAGCTATGTGAACCCTACGGTATACGAGCGACGAAATTTGCTCCCCATTACACGAAATCGCCTAATTCCAGGTCTGGGCGAAGTCTTACGGGCAAACGCGGTGCACTCTTCATGAATGGCCAGGTCTCTACACTGACCCACCACGTGAACGGCTCTTCCGGGGACACCGAACTACCGGACAAAACAAAACACAAGCAATTAGACGAACTGGTTATAAATAGCAGGATGTTTTCATTACATGTTCACCTTTTCCTTCCTTTTTCAATTCTCCTGGCTACTTGAAATTCAACTCAATCACTCACCCGTTGCCATCTCACACAACTAATACATCGTGTTCTTCGCCGATGCGTTCCTTGGTGTACCGGCTGTACTCTCGGAACAAAGCTGACATGGCTGCTGTTCGACGTCGAGCCTCTACCGTATCGATCTGTAAACCGTGACATCAAGATCACACCCTACATCAAGGAAATGGGTTGGGCGTGGCTGCGTACTTCATCTATACATGACTCGGATGAGTTTTTCATAAAATATTCGCATTCGAGGGAGCATCCTGTCTCGCGCAGGACAAAGCAAGTACACTGGTCTCCAAACCACAATATCCCACCAAAAGCGCAATCGCGACCATGTGCCAATCAGGAACGCAGCCACGCCCTCTCCATATCCGAGATATGAAGTGCAATTATATGAACTATATGTGGAATTTTGCCATTCCTCTCTGTCACCAAACGTGAATTGCTGTAAGCCCTCAATTTTGGAGTACGAAATTTGAACAAATCGAAATGTCCCACATTCTCCCACATGACAGCACCCTTTGAAAGAAACGAAAGGAAGGGAGTCGGAGGTTGAAAGTGTAGAGTGAGGGGAGGGAGGTCGTAGTTGTCCCCAAAAAAAACGTCTTTGATAGTCAATTTCTTTCGTCTTAGGCGCCTAAATGTTCATCATTGGCAGAATCCCGATAGTGGGGTCGTGAAGTCGTGTTGAGTGAGTGTTCCTTCCCGGTACGAAAGAAACTGTTCCGTCTGTGAGATTATACCTTTCAGGCATGGCATGAATCCCTTTTCCCCCTCTCGATAGCAGAGTTTTTGGGAAAATACCATTTGAACGGTAGAAGAAGGGGAGGGGGGGGAGAAGTTTGATGGGTGGGAAGAGGGGGGGGTCGTTCTTAACGCATTTCTACAGTAGCGATGTTTGCCAGTTCCCATAGCCCACAATCGAGCTTTCAAATTTCAAAATCAACCAAACCCTCTTTTCAGCATATTCTCAAAATTCCAACGAGTCCAGCACCCGTTTGTGCCACCGTAATGTGATGAGGGCGATGTGAATGATGAGACCGTCGGCCTCGTCTGTCACCTTTTTCATCCTTGCCGCCGGTGTGCCAGAACGTGGATAGAATTGATTGATGAAAAGTGACGGGAATTGGTAGTCACGGACGAGTTGCATGCTTTCCTCGAAATCCTCCTCAGTTTCCGTCGGGAATGCACAGATCATATCCGTCGCTATGTAGATGTTCGGCACTCTATAAAGGATACCGGCCATAAAAATGAAATTTTCAGCCTGAGAGTACTTCTGCCTCTAAGGCCACTCATTGTCATGCCGCAGGTCGTTGCCTCGGTTGCCTTGCAGGACGCTGTAGGCACAGCAATGACTCACTGTAGCCGGTGCCGGTCAGAAGATCCACTTTGCGGTGTCGCCAGAACGCAAGAACGCCCCTCCCCCCGACGACACGTCGCTACGTCCCATGGTGCATATAACATCAAGTAATGCATGTACCGCTTGTAGCTCATCACATATGCGGTGCGGCGTCGCTCACGAATCAGCCTACTTAGCCAGCTTACTCGGTCCACCTGGTGTAATGTTTTATGGCAGCGCGCGCCATTTTTTCCCTTAGCTGCGCTTCCGTGCGTCAAGAAGCTACCATGCACCTACGCCTAGTTTCGTTATCGGTGGTGCATACTCTTTTGCTGCGAACGCCAGGGCCGGTC